TGTGATTTTCTCTCATTGCCCATTTGTAAATCCTGAGGCCCCATGTGGAGTCACTGCTTCCCTAAATGGCATTTTAGCACTTTTATTATTTTTTTGAAGGGCAGCCATTAAGGCATTCCAACATGTTTTCTCCACTGTAAGGGCACCACAGAGGGCACTTTATCACATTTTATCTATCATAGGAGCTCCCTAGAGGGCACCCTTTAAGGTGTTTTTTGACCATATCCAAGTGTTGAAAAAGAGTGAGTGTGTGTTGCCATAAGAACTCATGTCTCTCATGCAAGAGTAAAACCTGCTGATGGAAACAAAACTTCAGTAAAGTTGTAGACTGGTGTTTTTAGCTACCAGTGAAGAGGAAAGCAAGTTCCCACATGACGATGTCTTGCATGACTACATTATGGCAGTTTATTGCTGTTGAGCTGGGTGATTGGAGAGCTCTGGTTCCCTCTTCCCCAAGCTTTGTTCATGTCACTGCCAAAATGAAAAGGTGTAATGCGTATTCTTTTCCTGGAACAGATTAAAAAATACAATGTGTTTTTTTTAATCGTACAAAATATATTTAGGCAGTCATCAGTTTACCTGTGTGGGAAACACTGAAAGCATAGACAGAAAAAGATGACGTTACTTGCAATAGTAGGTGATGTAACATCTTCAGTTCAAATTTGTGCATGAGTGCCCGTCTATCAAAAAGCAGACTGCCATTTAGCCATGTTGGAATTATACCTGAGGAAACAACTTTTACAAAGATTATTCTCAGGTCCTTTATAAAATGCACATGTAAGCCTGTCATGAAGGCTGTTAAGTGTATCATACGGCTTTTGGCTTGTTTTAACTGAACTGAGCCCACTGTCAAAAGGAGTGAATGGAATTGTAAGCACCGCATGCTATGTGCACAGATAAATAAGTACTGCAAAATTAAATATTTAAGTATTTAAATATTAAGTATTTGTTAATTCTACTATCCAGAAAGGCCAAACGGATTCTCTAAATAATTGTGTAAAATTTGCCCTATGCTTTGGATAGATGTGACAGCTTGTTAAACAAAAACCACATCATATACAAAAGGGGTGGATAAGATATTAAGATATTCTTAACAAAAACAAACAAAACAAAAACGTGGTTTCCCAAGTAACCCACTGCTGGGTGACACTAAAGCAAATTCATTGGTGACAAAAGGCACAAACATTTTTTTTTCCCTTTTCTTTTATTGCATAGCATAAAATCCATAAATTGTACATCACAAAAACCTGGTATGGTTAATAGCCATCAAACAGTGTGGTAAACAAAAGCATCACACCATGAATACTGCTCATGATCACACATCAACACTGACTTCAGTAGCAATCAGAGCAAATCATTTTTGGAAGGCCTGGCCCAGAGCAGACTTCAGTAGCAGGTTAAATGAATTTATTTTTAATTATATTTTAATATCAAAACAATGTACTCCAGCAAATATTAAAACGTGATATTAAAAATATTAGACTGTCAGGCTAAAATCTTTTCGAAATGGTTAGATAAACTGTAGTGATGACATTTAAATAGACATCAGATGACAACAGTGCAAAAATCATTTCTATTGCATAGCAGGTTGAAACTAAAGGTTCACTTGCCTAGCAAAGTTAAAAATGTATCCCATCATAAAGTATAGACTTATTATAAACTGATAGAAAAAAAAAAAAAACCCTCTAGAGCATGAATGTGAATTTAGTTTTCAAGTTACTATGCTGGAATTACGGTGCCAGTTGAGCTTGAATTCATATTGAATGGTAAAACACAGAAATGAGCTCACAACAAACTAATCAAACTAGTAATAACACATTAGTTAAAATCTGGGGGAAAATGTTTACATGAGGAGACAGGGAACACTGCTAAAGTATAAATAAAATAGACCAACACACACTGTTATTAAACAAGACACACCTTCATTTGGTTTATAAACAGCCTTGCTTAAACGAATAGCTGTTAATCCTTTTGTAAACATTTCATGTAAAATTCTACTCACCTATGGTTACCAGTTAGACAGGCTTAGTTTCCCAAAAGCACCGGAGTTAAAATTTCCCAAACTATTAACAGAGAATGCTAAAACCACTAAAACCAACCCTGAAATGTCCTTTATTTTATGAATTTGGAAAATGAAACTGTTTTATAGCTCCCACGAATGCAAGGCAACTATGTGCATAAAATAAATAACAAATATATATACAGTGAGGAAAAAAATTCATTTAAAACAACAACAACTGTCGTCCTTTAAATGGCATGACATAAAAACATTTCAATCCCACGCAACAGTACAGCTTAATGGTAATCCCAGTCATGTGGACCACTTGCTCTCTCTGCTCTTACTAGGCGAGTTAACGCAAAAACATATTCAATTTGTTTGACCCCCAACAACGAAGAGCTTACATGGAACTCTAATAACAATAACGAGCAACTGTAAGGGATGACACACAAGTCCCATAATCCTAAAGCATCCACGACATAACCACACGACACTCACGTACACACCGCTACAACACGTATTTTCAGAGGTATTCAATTCCGAATGCTAAATGCTTTAGCCTTCCTCATGCCAATCAGCATTGGTGGTTTGATCTTTGGTTTATCTGCAAAAAGCTGTGCCTCGCTCTCTGTGGTGGGGAAGCGGCGAGAGTAGATGTCAGGATATTCCTTCTGAAACTGAGAAGACAAAATGAGTAAAAACTGCTGAATACATGAATCTATGAATACAAACAACCATTAACATATTTACATTGTATTCCATCAGGAAAGTTTATGGAAAATGCAACTGTAGGGTCATTACCAGTCTGAGTTTCTTCTTCTTCTCCTTGACTGACATGCCTTTGTCCTTGATGATGCTCTCCAGCAGCTCTGCAACAGCCGCTTGAGACAAAGTTAGCTTCTGCTCCTCAAACTCCTGAGTGCTGATCTGTTTGCAGAAGGAGTAGGTTTGAAGAGGGAGTCTCTTCTGTGAGGAACAAGAAGAATCAGTTCAAGGTATGTCTTAAATACAACAGAATTGAAATCGAGAAACAAACATCAACTACTAAGGATGCATCGATACCATTTTTTCAGACATGTTTCTTCGGTACTTGCTGATACCAAATACTGATACTGAAATAAGTAACTCACTTAGTAATAATCAGTGGCCTCACAGAACATTTTATTTATCTCTGTTTATATTTCCCCAGTTTACATAGTGGACATGAAAGGCACATACATGTTACGCTATCAGGTTCTTTATAACATTAGTTGATTTTAAATGAAGTGCATTAGCTAGTTACTAGTTGGATCGAGTAGAGCTGCAGGGAAGAAGAGGTTTTGTTCAAATGTGGAAAAGCACTTTTGCACAGCTGTGAGTAAAGTAAGGTTTTGTTTTCGTTGCATTCTCGTTGTCAAGAATGATAGTGGCTGATCAGCAAGAACAATATACTGGGTAAGGGCTGTTATTTTCATTCATCTAGCATTGTCTGTAGACGTCGTTTTCTCACAAAACTAGCGTTTGCTTTCAACTGCTTTTAATGACTCATGCTTATGTTTTTAAAATTTTAACTTTTAAGCTTTATGTTTAAGATGTTTTATTGGGCTACTTTTATTGTACAAAGATGACATAGTTCCTCCTCTTGATCTTTTCACAGAGCACAGGGCACTTGGCATCTAATAGTTGGTTTTGAAACCTGCCTCCTTTACAGTCCAGCTCGCTGCTGGGTTTTCAGTCTTGCAAAATGTTGAAACTGTTTTATTATAGCATTGAATGTACTGTATTGAAAATCATTTTTGTGAATTGTGCCAATAGTGCAATATATGAAGAAATTCAATATTCTTTCAACTATTGCTGAGGCAGCACAATTAAATTGAAGCACGAACTGTGGTGCTTTATATTGCCAAGATCTAACAGTGGGATTGATAAAGTATCACACACTCATTTCACTCTGGTTAGCAACATATTTCTGCTCTAAGTGATATGAAAAAAGATGAGATTCTTCACCTGTGATCTGAGGTAGGCGATATGTTGTTCAACAGCATTACGCAGGTACATGGGTACCTGGAGTACCTCTTGATGATGGTCCATTAAAAAGGACAGCAGCCTGGTGGCCAAGAGCTCATCCAGATCTACTTCCTCCTCACAGCTCAATACACAGCGAGAGAACGTTTGCACCATCTGTAATCACACACACACACTCAGAAAAAGGGGCACACTGTGTCTGAACATCCCATAATAAAACAAGAATATAATGTGTTCGTGAGAGGCAGAGAGAATGTAACTGCTACTTTATGAAATGTATAAAAATTATTAGTTACGTCACTGAATCTCTGTGACAGGACACAGTTGCTCCTTACCAGTGTGCGTGTGCCGATGGTGTCATGTAACCGAGGCATGTCCACGTTCTGGCTCATGCGCGAGATCATGCGCAGTAGCAGCTGCAGTTTGCGGCGAGAAACCGGAGGAAGGAGGAGGGTGCAGAGCTGCAGTGCCTCGATGGCAAGACGCTCCAACGCAGGCTGCAGCAAGCCTGCGAACCCCCACAGTGAAAAGATTTACAGCGAAGTACAACATATATAGGCAAATGCAACAAAAACAGAAATAGCAATCTCAGTTTAGCAACACGGCCAATCACACAGAACACAGAGCACAGAGCACACCAGTCATACAAACAGCATAAATCCTATGTTTCAGCTTCAGACACGCACATCTTTGGTTTCTAACTTTCTTGTTCCATTGCTGCATGATCTCTCTGTCTCTCTCTCCCTCTCTCCATATTATATATCATGATGATTTTATATATAAATCAAGGAGATCAATTTATGCAGCAAATACAAATACATTTAAATGTGCTGTTCTTTCGGCTGCTCCCGTTAGGGGTCGCCACAGTGGAACATTGGTCCGCGTATTTGATTTGGCACAGTTTTCACACCGGATGCCCTTCTTGACACAACCCTCCCCAATTTTATCCAGGCTTGGGAACAGCACTGGGAGTGCACTGTCATGTGGCTGGGGTCAGTTCCCTGGCCAGGAATTGAACTTGGGCCACGGCGGTGAGAGCGCCGAGGCCTAACCAATAGTCCTCCAGGGCCCCACAAACAGATTTAAGTATAATCTGAATATACATATACACACACACACACACAAAAATTACAGCAAAAGTGCATTCCACTAATTTGTTACTACATGCATGACTGCAAAATATCAATCTCATGGGCTCTTTTGCATAAATTGAATCCTAAACATGAAAATGAAATACATTTTATAAGCACACACACACAGAAGAAAAAAAATTATAATATTTATAATATCCATACAGCAAAAATTATGATGTATTCAAAACAACTGAAATCAGATAATTTACAAAAACATTTTCTCCCCAAATACCAAATTAGCCGATTTGAAAAATAGCATGCAAAAGAGAGGAAAACAAAGTTAAAACAAATGCTAAGAAGTTAGACGCATGCACGTTAAAGGCAAGGTTATACACACAACAATCACAAGCCACACCAACACAAGCAGAACACTCACGGTGCTGTGGACAGACACATGCAGGCCTTACTTTGCTCAGGACTCAGGCGACGTGCAACAGAAGACATTGAGGGACGAGACGGCACAACAGGCTTGCACAGATCCAGAGAGCTGTGACAACGTCTGCTATTGGTTGGCCCTGTGCCGACATCCAAGCAACTTCCATGCAAACGGACGAACCCAGGACCTCTAAGATTAACAGTAGAAGAGGACAAGTCTGGTCTCATAGTAATTTCTGCTATTGGAGCATTGATGCTAAAGCAACTTGCTGACATTTCTCTGTGCTCCAATATATCAAGACAGTTCCCGATGCTTCTGGGCCGAGGCCTGGCAGTTCTCTGACTGGTGGGTTGACATTCTGAGGAGAGATGGGAGCTTGAGCTGCTGTTGCTTTGAGAAGTCTCTGTACTGGGACAAGTCTCGCTTGGGGAGGTACCATCAGGTTTAGACACCATATCTGCTGGAGAACTTCCTTGAGGGGAGGAACTGTCAGTGCTGTTAGTCCTGAAGGATGCTAGACTTTCAGCAGACCTAAAGAGCTCCCATTTTGGGCACGAATCTGCAGATTCATCCAGGATTCTTTCCAAAGAGCAACTCCTGAGTGGAAACCTGTTAAGTGGACGTCCATTGGAGTGTGCCCTTGAGCCCGCAAACTGGGTCTTAATTTTAGTAGCAAACACCTCTTTCATGGGGGACTCAGTCTCCTCAAAGGACTCTTTTCTTATCAAACTCAGCAAGAGGCACTCAGTGGATCTAAAAGCATTGGCACAGTTCAGATGAGGGGCTTTAGCTGGCTGCGGACAGCTCAGCTCCTCCAGGTTTTTACGCTTTCCACGCTGAGTACTGGGAGCAGTGGCATAACCGCACAAAACTAGCAAGGGATCAGACAAGATAACGTCAGACAAGCAGGCAAGGATTGTGGGAGGAAAAAGGGGAAGTTTTTAGGAGTCAGGGTACATAGGAGGGTTAGTTTTTAAAAAGTACACATTAACAAAAGGACCAGGAGTAAACTGTTAATGTTGTGTAACTTGAACTTTCTGCCTTTGAGTGAAAAGAGAAGTCAAATATCAGCCATTATTTCATCCCCCTCATTGTGTGTTTTGGCCCGTGATTACAGCCAATGCCTATGTCATGGCCGAGAACCAGTGTCTTACCAGCCACATAAAGCTTTCTCAGGACTCTATATGCTACTCCAGGAGTAAAGAAAATTTCCACCCTGACAAAAATATCTGTGATGTGCTTTGCAACGTTGGTGCTAAATTGGTTGCTCATTCAGTATTTTCTGTAACGTAGGAAACAATTAACAAATGTGAAAATAGACCAATGTGTCAACTGAAGCTTAAACGCTTTAAAAGCTTTTAAAAAAAATCCAATACTGAATTTCATTTCATAAAATAAATCTTGGATACCATGGAATATCACATATTAATTATAAATATTTATTCAGGGTGGATCTTTCCATGAGCATACAAACCAAACTGGAGAAAATGAGGTTCAGTGTCATCTATTATAAATAATACATAAGGTGATAACATTGTTTGAAATTTAAAACACTGGTCTTCCAATATCATTAAAATATTTATATTACCAAAATAAGAGAGTGCTCTATTTTCAAGTATGGGGGCTAATCAGCCTCTCAGCACCACAGGGCTATATTTTTATTAAACAACATTACAAAATTCAATTCAATCAAGTGCGTAAGCCAGTGTTAGCTATAGTTGGGGAAAAAGGGAGGGGGTCTGGAAAATATCTGTTTAATTCTGCTAACAAAAAGTTTCCAGATTCCTGATTTAGAGGGATGAAATTCTGATATATTATTTTCAAGAGTATAAAGCACCATTTAGGCAGGTTCCCCTTATTCTGCAAAGGACACATTAACAGAACCCAACAGAACCATTTCAACTGAATCCTACATTGCAACCTATTACCAGCTGAAAAATACTGCAACATATATTCCAGATGGTATAGAAAAACATCCAGATATATGACTATTTGATCAAAAAATCCCAACTAAATTTCATACATACCCAGAACATTAACAAACAATTCATAGTACTGGAAGGTCAGCATTGGCTGGGGAAGACTGTGAAAATAGTCAGACACTGATTTGAAGACATCCCTCTCAAAGCCTGGGTAAGATGGCTGGTCAAACTTTGGCCCTTTCGAATGCAAAAAAGATACAAAAACCAAATATATAATCAGAAAACTTCCAGCATTAGATACGTTAGCCTTAACCATTAACCATCTTGCATTGTTATTTCAAAGGAAGGTGTATCTCCCAAAACTAAACATTATTCTCAGGTACATTCATACTTACAGTTTGCAAGACATTTCATAGCTGACAAAACCCAGTGGGGCAAATCCTCTGTGAATAAAACCATTGTGCCATATAGTTAAGCTGAACCACATTAAAAACGTGATCAGAATAACCATCCTTAAGCAGTGGTATTTAATTATTACACAGATTTTCTTACCCGTCTTATCTTCCAAGGTAACAACTCCATGCTTGTTCACTTTGGTCATGTTATACACAATGAAGTGAGAATTGATTTCTGCTGGATTCAAAACATCTTCCAGAGATGGCAAACCGAGCAACTTCTGTAAACTGGTAAAAACAAAAATTATTTGGCCCTTTCTAGCACATTCCTTTACAGAGTGGTGCAACAAAATCACATCTTAAACAAACAAACAAAAAACTAAACTGAAGCTTACTGTGTTAATGTTACATTCTTCCAAATATCCTGAATTTCTTCCTCTGTGACTTCTCTACAGTGTATAGCATCTTCTGAGGATGAGCTGTTAGAAGAATCTTCTACAGCTGGAGCTATATTTTCCTTTGGAAAGCAATACGATTTGAAATTTGTAGAACCAAACATATGGGAAGTCAATACACACACATTGTCTTTAAACACTCACTTGGATTTCTTTGTCAAATTTCTTGGAACCTCTCAATTTGAAGAAGCCCTCCCTGTCCTTCAAAGACAAACTCTTCTTCCTTGTGCCTTGAGAACTAGCAGGGATCGGCTTCAGCGGTGATGTTGGTGGAAACCTGCAAAACATTTCACGAACATGCCAAGTAATTAATTTGTCCATTCATCTTCAGTAACCACTTTATTCAGTTCAGGGTCATAGTGGATCAGGAGCGTGCAAGAACACTGGGTGTGAGGCGGGAATACACTCTGTAAGGGATGCCCATCCATCAGAGTGCACCAAGAACAAACATTCACACACAATTACATCTAGCGGCAATTTATCTTAGCCAATTCACCTATCAGTATGCTTCTGCAAGGTAGGAGGAAACCTGATAATCTGGAGGAAACCCATGGAAAAATCAAGAGAACATGCACAGAAACCCCACACATATACTGTGGAGCCATGAGGCACCACCATGCCACCCATGCCAAGTAGAAAACATTTACAATGAGGACAGATTGGTGGCACAGGGACCCTGGTTCAACCCTGAGCTCATGTTCTCTCTGTGTTCCTGCTACCTACCAAAAACATGCTGGTAGGCACACTGGCACCTCTAAACTGCCCCAAGTGTGACTGAGGGTGTGACTGTGTGTGCCCAGTGCCCAGTGATGGACTGGTGTCCCATCCAGGGTGTATTCACGCCTCTGTCCCAGGACAGGCTCCTAATTCACTGCGACCCCACCAGGATAAATCGGTTAGTGAAGATGAATGGAAACAGTGTACAACACATCCAACTTCTTAATCTGGAATACCTGTAGAGCTGACCGTTGTCCTCCAAGTCCTCCACACCCCATCGTCCTTTTACATCCTCAATGACGTGATTTTTTAAGAACTTCTTTAAAAGCTGGACAGTCTGCTGCCTGGTGACCTCAGGTCCAAAGTTACAGTTGTTTCTGAGGAGATCGTGCAACCAGTCTACAGCTGCGGTGGCGGTGAAGCAGTTCGGATAAGCCTTCAAGTGCTGCCGATGCTTCTTCACTGGCATCCCCGCCCGGAAAAGCTTAGTTACTTCATTCCACTGCAAAAAAATAAATAAATAAATAAAAAATTGGACCTTTAGATTTACAGTTGACTAAAGTTAGATGTGTTTGATGATGACGACCTGGCCTGATACTTTCCATGTAGTGATCCTTTCCAGCACAGCATAATAATAATAATAATAATAATAATAATAATAGTAATAATAATGTTAATTTTATAGAGCACCTTTCTCAGACCCAAGGACACTTAATATAGTAAAATAATATAAGCATAAAACAACAAACAAAATACATAAAAATACATAAAAATACATAAAAATACAATACAAAAACAGGTTAAAAACAAAGGAAATGAATAGGTGTGACAGCCAGGATAAAGGAAGAAAGGATAACTTGTGCAATAGAAAAAGATAAAGCTAAAACTTAAGATGGTAGTGTAGTGTGAATAGCTGGGCCTTTAACAACCATAACAAAACCATCACTACGCGCATAGACGAAGGTTTTTACTGGAACTTTTGTAAATGAAAAATCAAAAGTCTAACTGCTTCAAAAAGAGCAAAGCATGTAAATCTATGAAACAGTCTCTCTCTCTCTCTCTCTCTCTCTC